GTACACGGCGCACATGCTGCTGGGCTGGGGGACCCAGAAGCGTGCTCTGCACCCACATAAGACCCATCCCCTGTGGAAGGAGCCACCTCTGCAGGACAGTCACGGTTTAAGATGCTTCTAGCTACAGAGCTAAGAGGGGTCCCGATGCGATCCCAGTGCAGGGTCGTCTTGAGGGAAGACGGCCAGCTCTAGCATTTGCAGCTGCTCAAAGCTCTTCCACTGCCAGGTGGAGCAATGCTCCCTGCAGTCATGGGCAGCAAGGCTCCCAGCCCCACCAAGGAGTCAGGACATAGGAGGAGAGCTCCCCTGGTCCCATCCTAGCCTAGTAGGCATCAAGCATGCTCCAAGCCCCTAGCAGCCCCACCACTGCTGCAAGATCCCCACGGGCCAAGTCTCTTCCCAGCCTCTCCACCCATACATCTCTGCTCCAGGTCTAGGACACCTGTTGGACGCCGGGCCAAGACCCACACTTAGTTCAAGCTGCCTGTTACATCCACAAATGATAACTGTTGTGCCCAAGCGGTGGGTTGCCAATAGACGAGACCCTGGAAAGTACATCCGCTTTGCTGTTCAGTCAGTTCTTTGCAATCTTCATTTTCCATCATGCAAAAAGACACCTTTAGGTTTCAAGCCTCCTTTCTGGGGGGAGAAGAGTACTTCTCCCTTCTGTCCCTTTCCAGGGAGGGATGACAGACCACACATGTGCAAGCCAGGCAGCTCAGTCCCCCTGGCTGGTACACAGGGATCCCCTTCTCCCTCAAGTCTCTGGGCTTCTAGTCATCCTGGGAGGCAGATTTAGGGCTTCTCCCACCCACCACGCCAGAAAGCTTGCTGCATGCTGGGCAGATCAGTGGCAGCCCAGTCTGGTTTAGAAAAATCAGAAAAATCAGGAGGGTGGGAAGGGACCTCGGGAGGTCACATCTGGTCCAACCCCCTGCTCCAAGCAGGACCAGCCCCAGCTACAATACTGCATACCTCTCGAGCTCTTGATGACATTCAGGTCTGAGTAGAGCTCCTTCACGATCTCCGAGCGGTCTGCCCAGGGCCGGGCCGTCACGTGACTCTTCCACTTCTTGAAGCCAAACTGTTTGGGACACGCAACGTGCAGTTAGGTCCGTGCGATTGCAGACTACACCTGCCACTGCTTTAGCACTAGGCAGGAGTGCTGTGCGTGGCTTCATGGCAGGGGGACAGCATTTGTGCCACCAAGCAAAGCCCCAAGTTCAGCACGTGGGGTGTCACCACTGGTACCCCCCCCACCTAGGACATGTCCTACCTACAGGGACAGAGCAGGGGAAGGAGGCCAGGCGTCAGCCATGCCATGGGGTGCTGCTCCCCAGGGTTTGTGCATGAACAGTGCGGGGTTGTCCAGCTAAGGGCTGCTCAGACATGCATGCAGCAGGGAGCAGAGGAGCTGCTCGAGCGATTGAGTCTGGGTCTGGGCCTTGGCCTTGGACCTCCAGGCCTGCTTTAGAGAGATGGGGATACAGCTGGGATTAAAAGCAGAGCTTGCAGCTGGCCCATGCAGCTCCTCCAAGGATTGTGGAGACAGCAAGAGGCCCAATGACTGTCAGCAACCAGCTCTCAGGAGTGGTTTTATGAAGTCCCCACTGCATCAGATTACAGCAACTCCGCCTCTCCCACAGGAAGCCTCAGGTTTCTTTCCTACTCGGCCTGGATGAGAGGACATCTCTTCACATCCTCTTCATGGTTAAGAGGAAACCCTGCAATTTGAGAGCCAGCTAATGCTCAGAAAGCAGGAGCAGCCCTGCCTCACAGGCTGGAGTGAAGTGTTATCTCCTTCCAGGACCCCAGGAAGGAGTTTTCCCTGCAAAAAGTGTTCAGACTATTGTGCTTCAAAAGATCAGCAATTTGCATCTTGGTTTAGGTAAAACAAAGCCAGCAAGAGGTCTGAAACAAGCTCAGTTTCCAAGAGCACCTGGGGAAGTTGCTTAGTCCCTTGGGACCTCAGTTTTCCCACCTGCAGGAGGGTTAACAGCACTTCCTGGCCCATCCCAGCCTCACCGCCCCCAGGGAGCTAGCTACAGATCAGACTGCAAGAGGGACTCTACTATGGGCACAAGACATGGGCAACAGCTGGTATTCAGTTCTCCAATCCCAGGCTCCAGCTTATTTGGTCTCCCATCTGGAAGCGACTCCCATCTCAGCTTGATCACTGCAAATATGTTTGCACTTCTCCCATCAAAGCAGCTCATCTATTTGCCAGCAGCTTCCTCTGCCACATCCCACTAATTAAACCAGGCAGCACCTTGTAGAAGTTAAGGAGTCCAACTCTACATGAAGTGAGACATTAGGAGGGCCACACAAGGACAATCCAGAGGTGCGTTAGTGTAATGCCCCAAGCTCAATCAGGTTGATTATTGGCACCTGTGCTGGTCACCCAGCTGCTGCTAATCTTCACAGCATAGCAGGGGCCAGGTTCAGTTCGTTCCAGCCCCGTCATCACCACGTCCAGCTGGAGTGCAAAACACTGGTAGCAACTGTGCCCAGGTTATACTGCAAAGCCAAGCCCTGTCACTGGTCCTGGGTATCCAGTGCAGACCCAGAGTCTGCTCCCACCTCCGGGGCAAAGCATCTGCTTAAAAAACCGAGGCTCCAGGCACTCGGCGCTACCCCCCTGCAGAGAATCAGAGCAACAATGGTGCAGCAAGGAAAGGGCCCTGCCCCAGAGAGCAGAGGTGCACAGACACATCCAAGTCAGAAAGGAGCGGTCAGGACAGTGGGACCAGCAGCCACGAGCCCAAGTGGGAGGAGACCGAGCTGACCTTGTAGTTGTTGGAGAGCTTGGCGGCTTCCACCTCATTTTCTGCCGTGATGGTTGTTTTCAAGGGGCAGCTGTCGCAGACTGGCAACTCGTCCGATAGCTGCTGGCAGCAGGCTGGCGTGGAGATCACTGCGGGAGAGTGGAGGGGCGGGAAAGGTACCCAGTTATGACCTACCCCGGGCTAGCCAGGATTGCACAGCCACACCTTGCAGCCCAGCGGTTTTGCAGTACTTGGGATCCCACCGACAGCACAAAACAGCCCCGTCCTGGCTCCATGTCAGAGGGGTGGAGGAAGGCAGGAGTGGAACCAGCCCTCTCCACAGACCCGGGAGAGGGACGGAGGGCAGGCTTTTGGAAAACAAACTACTGTGAACAGTCCTGTGGTTACTACAAGACCCAGGTTTCTCATGGAGACGAGGTCTGCACCATAGCAAAGTCTGAGAATCACCCTCCTTCAGGTTGGCGAGACGCAACAGCCTTGCTAACAGCTCACACCCGATGGAGCAACCGGCTTTGGGGCCTCCGGAGCAGGGCAGGATGGCTCGGGTCCCCTTCTGGGTGCCCGCTGGATGGGGAAGAGCACTGAACCGAGGACACCCGAGAGCCACGGTTTAGGTCAAATGGTAACGTAATCCAGAGGGGAAAGAGAAACGGGTGGAGGAAGGGCATCACCACCACATGCATTTCTAGCTTGTTACATCAATGCCCCCTTCATCCACACCGAGGAGGGCAGCAATCCCATAAGGGAGTAGCAGAGAGAAGGTGGGGGCACAGCCCTGGCACCTATTGAACTGCACTTCATCACTGTCCCGCTGAAGGGTCATAGCGTAATCCCCGGTAGAGCCACGATCACAAGAAAGCCTTGCCATGCTAGCACTGCTGCCACTACCACCATGGGATCTCCTGGCTTGGGCTCCCAGGGGCCACACCTGCCAGGCAGCAGCCAAACCAAAGACCCAAGCATCCAGGCTGCTTCTTGGCGTCACCCCAGCAGAAGAGACGGAGCCCTCTCTGCTTCCAGCAAGTCCCACGATGGGCTCTGGACAGTCAGCAGTGACCGGAGCAGGGACCGCGTCCCCCCAGCATGGCACACGAGGCATCTGTAGCCCACTCCCTCCGCGTACCTGGCAGGATCCTGGGCATCATGATGCTGTGCTGATGAGAGCCCGAGTGCATGTCCCCAAGGTCGCCCTGCATGTTGTTGATGGCCGCACATTGCCGGTCGCAGAGCGACCCCCTCCGGTGGCCATCGGGCTTGTGGTCAAATTCCCTCGGGAAGTCTGCAAAAGGACACAGCGAGGGAGAGTCACCCCCGCACCGGGACAGGGATGTGGCTGTTACAGCCTCTTCCACCCCAGCCACGCGCGGTCCGGCCTGTAGCTGGAAGGAAGACGAGCCAAACACCTGGCTGCTACTCCTGACCAAGCACCTGCTTCACCGCACTAGGACTCGAGCCCTGTTTTTATAACCCTGCCTGCTTATAGCATCCAAGCAGATGCCTCCGGCCAGAAGGGGAGCGTGGAAGCAATGCTTCGGCTGGTCCGGACAGGGCCGACCCTGCCTCGAGCAGGAGTTTCCCCGTCCATCTAGTCCGGGGCTGGCTGGCAGGCAGTCCAAGCAGGGAGGACCCAAGCTGCTCAAACCGCTAACAAGTAAGTGAAATCCCTCTGGTTTATCTGGGATGCCTTGCAGGTGGGTGAGAGAAGAGGGAGGAGTGCAGGGTTAGGAACCGGCAGGAATGGCCTAGAGCAAGTGGGGCCTGTCCGCCGGGGTGCCCCGAGCCCCTTTCCAGGCAGTGCCACCCCGAGTCTGGGTGACCCCAGAGACGCCGCACAGCTGGCATCGTCCTTGCAGCAGAGAGACCGCTCTTATCCCCCTGTAGTCAAAGGGAGCGCAACCCGACTGGGGTTTTTCTGCAGGGGGGTCTCAAGCCCGGCTTGCCCAGCAAGGCCAAGCACTGCTGGTGCTCACCCCCCTCTCTCTCCAGGGGCCGGGCAACACCCGTGCGGCTCCCAGCCCCGGGGACACTGCCAGGTTGCAAGAGCCCGACTTGCCCCGGGAGCGGCGCGGGGCTCCCCCGGGCCCGTGCTCACCGAAAGCCCCGTGCGTGTAGCGCCGCCGCCCGGGCTCCGC